GCAATCCTCATCAACCCAGAGAAGAAGGCAAGGTTAACAAAGGATGCTGGCATCTCATTTGCGGATGGCGCCAGGTTGCCGATCCAAGCAGCGCACTCCGGCTCTCTTTGCAATTGCGGGGCGCCCCGCGCAACCTACCTTGCAGGGCCGTTGTGGGAGAAGCGGTTCTGCCTCCTGGGAGGGAACTGGGGGGGCAACGGGAAAGGGAACCAACCCGGCGAATGGACGGACGGAGCGTCGCTTTCTTTGCCCGGCTTCCCCGCAGGGGGGGGGGGGGGGACTCACCTAAGCGGATGCCGTAAGCCGCGGTGACCGCCGCCCTGAAGCGGTCCATGCTGGTGTTGCGCTTGGAGTCCGGCTCCCACATCCGCTGCGCTTCCATGATCTCCAGCTCCCCAGACATCGTCGACAAACTGAGCACAGCCCCGGCTTCGCCTCCGCTGCCCGCTTCACTCTACGGAGCCCCACCACTTCGCCGGTCCGAGCAGGACTGCGGGGCTCCGCCTCCTGCCGGCTCCTTTTATAGGACGCGTCACCTCTTCGATATCCTCTTCCCCAGCCGGTGAACTTCCGCCAATCCCAAAAAATAGTGCGCGGAGCGAAAGGCCGATCTTTGTAAGGGGAACGAGCGTGAACAACGTGGGCTGCAAGTAAAATAATAATACAATAATGCAATAGTAATATTGTAACAAAATATAAAATAAAATAATATAAAATATAAAATAAAATATAAAATATAAAATAAATATAAAATAAAATAATATAAAATATAAAATAAATAATATAATATAAAATAATATATAATATATATATATAATGTATAATATATAATGTAAAATGTAAAATGCAAAATGCAAAATGCAATACACAATACACAAAATATAAAAAATAAAATAAAATAAATATAAAATAAAAAATATAAAATAAATATAAAATAAAAAGACCATTTAAAGACCACTCAAAGCTACAGCGGCGCTGGAAAAGGTGACTTACGACCACTTTTTTCACACTTGACGTTGCGGAATCCCCATGGTCACGCAGTCCAACCGACTCATATTTACTACAACCGCAGCTTCCTGGGGTCACGTGATCCCCTTTTGCGACCAGCATAATCCACCGGGAACCCTGATTCACTCAACAACAGTGTGACGTATGCGACGTTGAAAAGTGGAATTGAAACTCACTGAATGACCTTCTCACTTAGCAACAGCAACGTCGAGCTCCATTGTGGTCGTAAGTCAAGGACATTTTTTTGGACTTTTACTGCTGACAAATGGGCGTGGTGGTGGAAATGAGTTGGTGATTTGATGATTAATAGTTGAATATGGGAGGAAGGGGATTCTGTAAGGCCAACCCTCAAAGAGAGACAATGTTAGTTTGTAACTGCTATAAAGGCGATCTGACAGTTTCTTTAAATATCTTTTTCTATCCGTATTATATCTTGCACATATATATCTATTACCTTTCATTGTCCTTAACTTTTTTTAATATATAATTGTTCAGGTTTATCTTTTATCCGTGTAAAACTCTGCAATAAAAATTATCGATTTAGGAATATGTAGATTTTGACTTTCCTCTAATTGCGAGTCATGTTTTTTATTCTATTATTGTATAATTCTATTTGTTTAATTATTATTATTATATTTTATTCTATTAACCTTCTCATCCTCCCTAGTACCTATTTCTTCCCACTTTTGACTATTTCCATGTAGCTTGTATCTTTACAATCTATATTGCTTTATTTGTTTTCCTAGTATGTTTTGATTGCGTATTAGTAACCTATGTATGATTTGATTGCTTATAGTAACCTAGGACTATCATTAAGTGTTGTATCTTACGATTCTTGATGAATGTATTTTATTTTTTTCTTATGTATTCTGAGAGCAGATGCACCAAAGACAAATTCCTTGTGTGTCCAATCACACTTGGCCAATAAAGAATTCTATTCTATTCTATTCTATTCCTTATTCTATTCTATTCTTCATTCTATTCTATTCTATTTTTATGACAACTCTGCGAGGTAGGCTAGGTTGAAGAATAGAGGTAGAATTAGGTGAATCAGGAAGCTTCCAGGACACCAAATTACTGTGAAATTTAAAATACAAGTAGCCCTCGACGTAAAACAATTCATTTAGTGACCATTCAAAGTTGCAACGGCACTGGAAAAAATGACTTCAGACTTTGTTCACACTTATGACCGTTGCAACATCCCCATGGTCACATGATCAAAATTCAGACACTTGGCAACTGACTCATACTTATGACCGTTGCAGGAGTCATGCAATCCCCTTTTGCAATTTTCTGACAAGTCAAACGGGGAAGCCAGATTCACTTAACAAACCATGTTGCTAACTTAACAGCTGCAGTGATTCACTTAACAACTGAGGCGAGAGAGGTCATAAAATGGGGCAAAACTCACTTTAAGAATGTTTCACTTAGCAACATAAATGTTGGGCTCAATTGTGGTTGTAAATCGAGGACTACCTGCATGTATGTATGCATGCATACATGCATGCATACATACATAAATATAAACAAAGCAACACACTCAAACCCAGATTCTATGCAAGAAAACCCTCAATCCAATAAATCTGCCTTAAACTAAATTATGTTTACTCATTAATACATTTGCTATAATGAAATGTTCAGGGAGGGGGGAAAACCTTAAGATTTAAAAATAAAATACATTACATTTTCTTTCTTAATTTTTCAATTTGTTCAGATTTATCTTTTAGGCTGGTAAGTCGCCTTGTGGCGAAAGAAACAGCCCACCAATGCCATCAATAAATTAATAAACACAAATCTGCCGTTAAAAAAAAATTAGTTTAAAAAGAAAAAGCATCGCACTCAAATAAACCCAAATTCTGTACAAAACAAAAAACAAAATAAAACAGAAATCCAACCCTGGATTGTATTTTAAAAGAAAACAATAAATCAAGTTTTAAACTTTGTTCTATTTATTTCATACATGCGATGTAATGTGATGTACAGAAATTAAGAATTAAATGCAAATGTGTAGAAACCCAGATAAGGCTCAAAAACGCCAAATTGGGGTTCAAACCACCCCAGAGCTGGCACCTTCGGAGGCAGAGGGCGGAGGGATCCGTGGCATCAGCGCACCACAACGAGATGCGGCTCCCCCATTGGTGGATCTGGCTCTGGCCCCACATCAGCCCAGAGTCTCCAGCATGGACCATCCAGCAAGCAATGAGAGGGCTGGGGCCCTCCTCAACCAATCAGGAGGAGAGGTTGTGCTGGCACTCACACCGCGAAAGGCCAATGGGTGCCAGAGCTGCGGAGAGGCGTGCCCAATCCGAGCTCGGCTTTCATGGTATGGGGGTGGGGGGAAAGGATCAAGGAAGTTCATTGATTGGATTGGATTTGCACACTCAGCAGTGGGGAAGAGGGGGGTTTGGGGAATTGTGATTGATTTTGGTTTGCACACCCAGCTATAAGAGAAGAGGAGGATTTGGGAAAGTAGTTTATTTTGATTTGCACACCCAGCTATAGGGAAGAGGATGATTTGGGAAATTGATTT